CTGATTTAAAGGAACCCAAGGATTCAGCTTGCACTACGTTATCAGGAAGACTATTCCATACTCTGACTACACGCTGTGTAAAGAAGTGCTTCCTTGTTCCTGGTTCTATAAAAACCATCGACTAACGGAAGAACAGATCAGTTCAAAGAACAGTTAAGGAAAAGTGAGACTGGCTTAAAATGACTGATAATAAATTAAAAAGTATCACCGGGAGTCGGCAACGGCCAAGCATGTTCCAGCCCACCTGGCAGGGAGAGGGAATAGACTCAGGCTCCGCCCCTCCCTGCTCTTCCCTGCCCCTCCCAGCCCCACTGTGAACACAGGCCCACACGTTGTACATACACGCCTCCCTCTAGGGCTGAGGAAACTGATCAAATACGGCTGTTGGAAGAGGAGACTTGAAAGCGCATGACGTGGGAGACAGACACAGAGAGAAGGAGGCACTCAAGTGGGCTGTGTTACAGAAGAGCCAACGCCCTTCACCCACCGCGGCATTACACTCAGCAAGCAGAGAGAGGGCGGAGTATCGGGTGCCGTTTCAAAATACTCAAATATTCTCTGCCTGTTGCATGTCTATTCCCATGATTCTCTGCACAAACCTAGTTTCCTTTTGTTTTTCCATGCCTGTGATGCGTAAAAAGTTGGCCAATAGTAAGTTTGGAAAAACGTTAGCGCAGATGAGCGTGAAATGGCGATCCCGTTTGTGCTGAGTGATAGGGCTCATTCCGTGTAAAGTTTGGATCACACGTTTCAACGGCACCACCCCCCCTAAATGCGGTGTTCGCCAAAAGAAAGGTGAAATAATATTCTAAAAGTTCTAAAATGAGCGCGAACAGGGCATCTGACATCTTGGAATGTAAAAAATAATAGTCTAAAAAGAAGAAATTAATGACGGATAGGCATTAATTAATACATATCACCATGCAATTCCAGAGAAACGAATAAAATCAGGAAATAATAGATACATATTAGGGCATTTTAACAAAGTACACCAAACTTTTCACTCACCAAACTGCGAGGAGATGCAAGACAGACACTTGAGTGAAGGAGAGAAATTGTGAGGGAGACAGGGGCGAGAGGTGTTTTATACTCCTCTCGCTCGGTTCCTCCCTCCCACGTCTTTCATTTTATCGTTTTGTTGTTCCTCATTCCCCTATTTTTTTTTAACTCAATATGTGCTGATTTTCTTGTCCGCTAGAAAACTTGTCTATTTTATTGCAGCACTTTTAAAGCGCTTTGACTGTAGGATCACAGTTTATCGTCCATTTTGGATACAGAACGGGGAGTGTCAAATATTGCCGAAAATACATTAAATCTGAATGTATGTAAAAAAAAAAAAAGCCCGTTAAAAACACGACATATAGTGAAGCAGTACGCCACACGTATTTACTTAAAGTATGTCTTTGCTCTATATATATATATATATATATATATATATATATATATATAAGCATAGAGGCTCAGCGCTTGCTCCTTACCTCTATGCTTTCGAAAATAATTAATTGCCCACCATCATGAAGTAGCCTAAATCAACTATGTAGTTTACCCCCCTTCCAAGTTCCTTAGTCTTGACGACAGTTTGACAGATTTAGCCAAAGAAATTATTTTTTAATCACTCGTTAGGCCTACTTAAAGTTGTACATTCGCCTTTTTTCCTTTTTTAAATACAGAACATACGTGTAACGCAACACTATTGACGGAGAAGTTGGTGTATTGTGATCATTATCGCTTACAGTTTTGCTCCATGACAGATGTAAAAATTAATATTAATGTTTAACATGGCGCGTTATATTGATTTTTCAACGGGAAATACGACGTATTACAGTTTGATCACATGCATTTCATATATGACATCGTGCTGATGACTTTGAATAGATAATCTTTTTTCCAAAACCGTAGTGCAAACTTTCCTCCTATAAAATACAATTTAAAAATGCGGAGCAGTTTCAAAGTCACGTGTTCGTGATTTTTTTTTCCCTAGAAGCGACCTCAGGATACATTGGCAAGCACTTCATGAAAGCTTTTGCACCGAATGGCATTTACAACCGGCACGTTGGTGTGATTATCTCGTCACGGTTATTTCTGATGAAGCAAATACGAGCTCCGCTGGTGAAGCGATTGCGGCGAGATCTCAGTATATTTCAGAGCATGCGGTTTTCTTAAGCCAAATTATAAATAATTGTCATCCTGCGATACATACGCAGCTGAAAAACTGTTGGTAATTTCCATTATCACACGTGGCAGAAGGTGTTTCGAGCACTTTTTCATTTCACACACCTATCCAGGTCCAGGATTAATCTGGCCGGCCCGCAGGTACCAGCTGCTCGTCCTGTCTCCCCTTACGCGGTGCGCATTGTTAGTCAGGTCTGGTGGTAAAACAAGCGAAGTTGTAACGTTTGTCAGTGTGTCGCAAATATTGCTTCAGTATTTGTTTTGTCTGTTTGGTTGCTATGCACAGAATAGGCGCCTAACTAGCAGCCTTGTGCAACTCATTAGTCTGCTCCTTGTTGCACTGTGTTGAGAGACAGAAAGATTGGGGACCTTATTATGGACACCATAAATGATTGCCATATTTTGCCATTTGGTATAGCAGCTTGACACAGATAGTGTTAGGCACACATTTATTTGGCAGCCTATGACTTTTACACAGCACTGTATATATACACACAGATTGTATGCATCAACTGAAGGCACATGGAAGTGGGACAAGAGAATGAGAGAGGCTGGTATGAGAAACAGAAAACATTTTGGCACATGAGCAACTGCAATGGTGAGTCACAGAAGCAGAATTTCACTGTGTGCGTTGGGATCCAAAGTACCTTGGCAACAGAAACATTTATCTTGCTTTTTTTTTTGTAAGAACTTCGCTTTCGTTATTTTGATTATGAACCAATAGGGAATAAATGATGGAAACATATAGGGCACAGGGAGCCACGTGTGTTTCAGATCGTGATCACTGCAGCTGAGCCAGTGCCTCACATGCACTGGATACATAATTAAAAACATACTGCAACGAACATGGCAACAGGCGTATTAAAGGTTTTCTGTCATACAAAGCCATCTTCACACACACACACACACACACACACACACACACACACACTCACACACGCACCCCTGCAGTGTAAATGAAATAATATCTTATGGTGTCTCCACAACTGGCTACATTGTCCCTGATCGCTGTTCCCATCTTTTCAGTTACTTCCCAGAATTAATTTGTATTTCATACTTCTGTTTAGTTGTCTTTCTTTTAATTAAACATCCGGATAAGTGGCTTTGGACGGAAAACTACTGCAGATAGCCAAATGGCGTTTACCTGCCCTGCCTGCATGACTTCTGGCATTCAAGTGCTTTGCCAAAACACCTCGAAGGAAGGAAGCCTTTCTAATGAACAAACCCTCATTATGCCAGAAAAAACTATGAAAATGCTGCAATAAACTCTTAAACGACATCTGGCAGCATGGGGCTGCATGATCTGGAAAATATAATCACAGTTTAGCTTATGGTTTAATAACCTCTTCGGCCCAGCTAAGTACAGCTTGGCGAGCTTGTCTCTGTGATTTAATCGTAGTAGTGCTATGAAGGTCCCTAACGCCCCCTCTGTGGCAAACTGGTTGAGACCATTTCAATAGCCTATTCTGGTTTGCACATAAAATGAGAAAGGGGAGTAGGGGTGGACCATTCTGGAAGTTGGGATGGGGGAACAGTTCTAACACATGAAGATTTCTGCCCTGCTTGGTGGCGATATTATCGCTGCGTTTTCACCCAACTGGCCCATTGTGTCGTTTCTTTTCGCTTGGATGGTTGCTTGTGTGGACTGAGCATCAGAAAGGCTGTCTATCAGCAACGAATCCCAACTCCTTCCATTATCCTGCCACACGTACGAGCCCTTTTACAAAGCCATACAGTGGTCACCTTCATTACTGACGCATCATTGGCATGTTTATCAGGGAATCTCCCTAAAGCTTATTGTTGTGCTTGTTGCCTGCAATCATGTGGTTTGAATATGAGTTTTATGTTTTTAGCCCCGTTGCTAAAAACATTGCGTTTGTTATATTGCCCCTCCCCCGGGCACAGAGGACCTTCCGTTTACAGTTTCCTGTTGTTTATGTGGTGATGTGTGTGTGTGTGTGTCCTAGAATGACTGCGGTCTTGATGCGAGACGACTGCTGAAAAACAGGCTGAGTCAGAGAGACTGGAGACTCCACTCGGTCCCTTGTGTGGTGGAAAATCCCCGCAAGTCCCTCCCGGAGGTGCAGTAGGTGGGCGCCCTCAAGCGGCCAGGAAGTAGCTGCTGCGCATTATCTGTACCCCCCTCCCCCCACTGCCAAAACCTCTGGATGGATCCCTGCGCTCCTCCTCTTGCCTGCACTTCCCCATTTCGTTGGGGTGAGCTAATGGCAGAGGAATCTTGCCCCGCCCTCCCAGGATAGCCCATTTTGCAGTTCTCACTGCACTCTATGTTTATGGTACCATGTACAGGAAAGGGAGAGGAGGTGCTGAGAGAAATGAGGGAGGATGGGGCGGCTGCACCATCTAGAATTCTGTGCAGGGCTCTAACATGCCACCTGCACCCATTCTCATGCTCACACCCACGAATCAAAACAGTCACTGCATAAAGAGCTAAAGAACGCCAGAGTGCCGCCCCCTGGTCTGAGAGTCACTGCACGTAGGGTTAGGGTTAGGGTTAGGGTCAAGTTTGCCAGAATCCCATCCCCAGGTCTGAGAGTCACTGCTTACAGAGCTAAAGCACGCCAGAGTGCTGTCCCCTGTCTGAGAGTCACTGCATACAGAGCTAAGCACACCAGAGTGCTGTCCCCTGTCTGAGAGTCACTGCATGCAGAGCTAAAGCACGCCAGAGTGCTGTCCCCTGTCTGAGAGTCACTGCATGCAGAGCTAAAGCACGCCAGAGTACCATCCCCCTGCCAGGAGTCCACAAGAGGTACAAGTTGTTTCCATTAATGGCTGTTTCAGTTTCCTGGCTTAGAGCATTTTATTCCATGTTTATGATGAAACACTGACCAATTCTGAGAGCTGCCTATTAATAAAATGCAATAATACTAATAATGCTAATTATAATATTAGCATGTATATAAATAAAAATATTATTTTTATTATTATCAGCAGGCTACTTGCTCAATTATACTGTCATACCCAAAAAAATGTGTCCCATCCGTGGAGACCTCCACAGCATGAACACCATCGTTTGCCAATAATATCTACTGTTGTTTCTGTACTACTAAAGAGGCCAATGGGAGAAGGTAGATCTCCAGTGAGCCTCTGTGGGGGGGCATCTTGGGAAGGACAGTCATGTGACCAGGAGTATCTATACTGATTTGTTTATTCATTATCCTGTGGTCTGTTCTGCTGCACCCCAGTAACCTGGAGAGGGAGAGTAACCCGTCCCATGATGCGTTACCAGCCTGCCTCTGCACCCCCCACTGAAGTGAATCTGATTCACTTATTTTGTCCCCGCCAGCTCAGTTCCTTGCTTTTTGATGTTTATGTGTTGCGTTGGAAACGCCCCTGCTCCCTCTGTGCCTAGAAAGGGAACAATGCTTTAATATATAGCAGCCAATCACTGCCAAGTCCCTGAGTCACATGATTCTCCTCACCATCATATGGAGAACCATTCAGGGCTAGAATCATCAGTATTTTAATGTTAGTGAGCACAAAGTACAAGGAGATAAATAAGCAACGATGGAGCTTTCTGAATCATTTGGTTTGTCGAACTTTAACCGGTTTTTACCAGCTTTCTCTGGTGCTCAAGCTGCACATTAGCACCTCCTAATATTCCTGTACCTCATGAATGCCTGTTGCTGTGATACTGTCATGACTGCACATTTCCACCTGACCAGCAGCCAAACAATGTGACTAATAGTGAAGCTTTTCATAATATCTCAAGACAGCAGCTGGGTTCATTTATTATTTTGTTGTTTTCGTGCACAGGCAGCTTGCCAGCTACAGTCACAGGGTCACATGACCGTGAATCCAGCTGGGCCACACCGGCTCGAAGCGGTAAAGAGATAGAAAACCATAGCAAATACTAAAGAAAAAGAAAAATCAAATAAAACTTAACCAAAGAGTGAGATCTCTTGAACTCATGGCCAAAGGGTAACAACTTCACCACCACTCACTCAAACCCCTGAGCTACATGGTGGCCTG